TCCCTTTTTTTTTTTTTTTTTTTTTTTTGCGGTACGCGGGCCTCTCGCTGCTGTGGCCTCTCCCGTTGCGGAGCACAGGCTCCGGACGCGCAGGCCCAGCGGCCATGGCCCACAGGCCCAGCCGCTCCGCGGCACGTGGGATCCTCCCGGACCGGGGCACGAACCCGTGTCCCCTGCATCGGCAGGCGGACCCTCAACCACTGCGCCACCAGGGAAGCCCCCGTTCTCACTCTTGAAAATGTTCTGGGTTTTACTCTATCTGGTCACCCTATGTGGCACCGTCCCATATTATTTTATGCCCCAGCTCCCTCTCCAGACACATCTTCTCCCTCATCCCCAAGGAATCCCCTATCTTCATTTTTGTCCATTGGCTATCTTTCTCTGTTTTCCAAGTGTTCATTGCCCCAAAATTAGCCCTGTCTTCAACATTCACTCCCATGTAACCCCGTTCATTCAGCTCAGATGATCTTGGTAAATGATTAGGAAGCAAAAGAGCAATCTGATTATTTCTTTTAAAGTAGTTTGTACTGGGACTTCACTGGTGGTCCAGTGGGTGAGACTCCATGCTCTCAATGCAGGGGGCCTGGGTTCCATCCCTGGTGGGGAATTAGATCCCACATGTATGCCGCAACTAAGAGTCCGCATGCTGCAACTATAGATCCTACATGCCGCAACTAAGACCCAGAGCAGCCCAAATGGACAAATAAATAAACATTAAAAAAAAAAAGTAGTTTATACTTGTGATTTTACAAATGATTTAGAACTATAGAAGGGACAGTTCTTGCAAAATCTCTGCCCTTTATCAAGGCAGGGTGCAACTGTGTTAATTATGTAATCATTTCTGTCTGAGTTATTTTTGTGACTGCTGTTATATATACTTGTTCAATTATATAATAGGGATCTCTGATTTGGCACCCTTTATTCTGAAAGTTTGCCAACACAAAAAGGAGTACAAGGAAAGACACTGGAAAGAGACCCAAAGAAGCAGGACTGCAGGTGGTTAGTATGGTCTTCATTACACATTTCTACCTTTTCCAAATGGCTGGTAATGAGTTTATATTACTTTCACCATCTGGGAAAGAAAATAAATACAATGGAAGAGAATAATATGCAAAAAAGAGTAAAGGTCACTTAGACTGTTGCTTATTTTTATCAATAAGAAAATCTGAAAGCTAGATTTGAGATTGGATAATAGTCTGTTGAATATAAATATATATATATATATTTATTTATTTACTTATTTATCTCACATATGTGTCAAATAATGATTCTTTCAAGGGTCAAAAGATTGAAATGAATTATCACACTAGCAATCCAGGTTTGCAAAAACTGTTTCTCTTTTACTAGTTACACTTAATTAGCAAAATCAAGGCCCCTGCTTTCCAGTGTAAGGCCCCGTAAGGTGTTAACCCAGCCAGACAGGAATAAGCTTTGTAAAAGCACATTTTCTGTAAGAGGTGCTGGTCTCTTCACCACCTACTCTGAGCACCAGAATTTTGATTGCAGTTGTCAGTTGAGAGTTCTTCAGTTCCCAAATCTAACTTATGACGGTGCCTATCATGTTCTTTTAATGCTATACAATATAGACAGTAGGATCCATTAAGAATAACTGACCAAATATTAAGATACAATAAACCTCCCGTGTAGATTCTGTCGTTAACACCCACCCTACTCCATCCACACGAAGGACTCATAAGAATTCTTAGCTAGATAGAGCTAGGGAAATAATTTACAATTTGATCCTATTAAATTGCTCTTCCTTTGTCATCCTAGGCCTGAATTATTTGCTGACGCTTTTTTTATTCCAATAATGATTCATGTTCCATGACAGTGAATGGTCTTTCTTGTATGGAAGCTGTAGTGATCTCTTACAGAAAATTCTCGTCTCTCTCTCTATGATTGTCCGGGTTCATACTTTAATCCAGAGGCTTTACCAACTGTGTTTCTATTGCTACAGCTATTCCAGTCCCTTTTTGACCTCATAAATCCATGCAATGCTGAAATATTTTTAGTAAGTACGACATTTTTTTGAAGAGTAGTTGATTTACAATATTATATTCATTTCAGGTGTACAACATAGTGATTTGACATTTTTATAGATTGTACTCAATTTAAAGTTATTACAAAATAATGGCTATATTTCCCTGTGCTGTACAATATATCCTTGTTGCTTATTTATTTTATACACAGTAGTTTGTGTCTCTTAATCCCTTACCTTTATCTTGCCACTCCCCCCTTCCCTCTCTCCACGGTAACCACTAGTTTGTTCTCTATATCTGTGAGTACGTTTCTGTTTTGTTATATTCATTCATTAAAAAAAATTTTTTAGATTCCACATACGAGTGATATCATACAGTATTTGTCTTACTCTGATTTATTTCATTAAGCATAATACCCTCTAGGTCCATCCACCATGCTGCAAATGACAGATTTCTTTTTTTATGGCTGAATAATATTCCATTGTGTGTATATCGCATCTTCTTTATCCATTCATCTATTTTTGGACACTTAGGTTGCTTCCATATGTTGGCTATTGTAAATAGTGCTGCCATGAACATTGGGGTGCATGGGTCTTTTCAAAATAGTGTTTTAATTTTCTTTGGCTATATACCCAGGAGTGGAATTGCTGGATCATATGGTAGTTCTATCTTTTAATTTTTGAAAAACCTCCATACTGTTCTCCATAGTGGCTGCACCAATTTACATTCCCACCAACAGTGCACTAAGGTTCCCTTTCCTCCACACCCTGGCCAACATTTGTTATTTGTAGACTTTTTGATGATAACCATTCTGACGTGTGTGAGGTGATATCTCACTGTGGTTTTGATTTGCATTTCTCTGATGATAAGCAATGCTGAAGTTTTAAGCAGTATGGTCTCTGTCAATGTATGATTTTTTTTTTCATCAGTAACCTGCAGTCCAGGGTGGGGTGGGGCAGACAGGGAGGGAGTTCTAGACAGTCCAGTTTTTTAACAGCAAAAGGAATAACTTTCATATTGAATACTAGATGAAAAATTCCTTTGCTGTGTTTTTACTGTGATACTTCCAATACCATATACTACAAAAAAACTCCAACCTGGGGTTTTGCTGTTTAACCACTTCACTAGGTCCACAATAGGTCAGTTACCACAGAGCCTAGAATTCTGATAAGCCATACAGGAATAAGAAATCTGAGTGGCCCAAGACTTAGGGTTCATAAAATGAAGATGACTGCTGCTGATGGAGACATGTGCGTTGCTCTCAAAGAAGAATATAAGAAAAAGAATATTCAGAGAGGGAGTAGTGATGGAATATGTGGCTCTAGGACACTGTGTCAGCAACGTGGTTACAGGGAAACAAGTAGAAATGTAAGCTAACCATTTTTTAAATTAATTCATTCATTCATTTATTTTTTTGCCTGTGTCGGGGTCTTAGTTGTGGCACGTGGGATCTTCGTTGCGGCATGTGGGATCTTTTTGTTGTGGCGCGGGGGCTTCTCTCTAGTTGTGGCACATGGGATCCAGAGCGCGTGGGCGTTGTAGTTTGTGGCACGCGGGCTCTCTAGTTGAGGTGCACGGGCTCAGCGGTCGTGGCATGTGGGCTTAGTTTACACAAAGCATGTGGGATCTTACTTCCCTGACCAGGGATCGAACTCGCATCCCCTGTAATGGAAGGCGGATTCTTAACCACTGGACCACCAGGGAAATCCCAAGAGAACCATTTTTTTTTTTTTTTTTGAGAACCATCTTTAAATGAGAGAAATGGGTACTTGTCTTAGGCACTTGGATCAAAGAGATTATTGAATATTTTTTAAAAGAATTGTATCTGTCCAGCTCTTTTACAGTGTCTATATTCAAATTATCAGATCCCACTGAGACAGGAGGGAAGGGGGTAGGGCACAACCCTTAAAGAATGACACAGCCATTGAGAAAAATTGGATACAACAAAAAGTGGTCTGAACAAATTAGGCCCAAGATGGCGGAAGTTTCGACTTCCAGAGGAACTTAAGCCTCATTATATGCTCATCGCAACACATCAGCACCTAAATGACACACCACAGGCACCATGATGGTTCCAAGGCTGATGATAAAAGGCCAAAAAGTGGGCAGTGGCCCAATTCCTGGAAATCCCCGCCCCTTCTCCAGAATAGTTGGAATACTCCTCCCACGCATTAGCCTGTGGAATTACAAAGCGCATAAAAACTAACCATCCCATATTTCAGGGCCGGTCTCACCTTCTGAGACAGGCTGCACTCTGTCTATGGAGTGTGCTTCTCTCTCAGTAAACCTGCTTTCACTTTGCTATGGCTCTCGCCCTTGAACTCTTTCCTGCTCGAAGCGAAGGACCCTCACTTGGCGGCCCACCCCAGGGGCTCACGTGAGACCTGGGACAGGACCATCCTCTCGTGCCCCGTTATCCTGCAAACTCTTTGCAAATGATACTAATAAATCCACTTCTTACCTACCAATCACTTTGCCTCTTGCTGAATTCCTTCTTCGCCAAGACATAAAGGACCTGAGCTTCAGTTAAGTCCTGACAGCAGGCGAGTGATTTTAATTAAAAGATGGTGGGTGGGTTCGAGTCCCAGCCCATGGGTTCAAGTCCGAAACTGAGTTTTGGCTGGTTTCAAATCCCATCTGAGGCGTTCGGTTTCAGTTTCACCTTCACTCTGTTACACATTAAAATAGCTTTCTTTAATTAAGGGATAACATACAATAAAACACATTCAGTGCACACATCAATGTACAGCTCAATCATTTTTACATATATGATATATGTGTACATATATGACACACACATGGACATAGATAAATTCATATCTCATAACTATGTAATCACAACCCAGATTAAGACAGATTTCTTGCATTCCCTAAAGTCCCCTCATTCTCCTTCTCAGCCTGGTACTACAAAGCATTTAAAAAGTCGATGAAAAAAAAAAAAAAAAAAAAAAAATGAAAAAAAAAAAAAAAAAAAGTCGATGAATATAGGGACTTGCCTGGTGGTCCAGTGGTTAAGGCTCCACACTTCCACTGCAGGGGGTGTGGGTTCGATCCCTGGTTGGGGAACTAAGATCCCACATGCTGTGCGGCATGGCCAAAAAATGGAAAAAAAAAAAAAGTAGATGAATTTAACAGAGAAGATACTTTGAAGATTACTCACACTAATTGTACTAGGAATTGCATTTAGTTATGAGGAAGATACCACACAAAGCAGTGCTTTAAACAAATTGGTGGTTTTCTTTTTTTTTTTTTCTCTCATGTAAAAAAAGATGCAGATGGTAGGAAGGCTCCAGAGAGCCTAGCTTCCTTCTTTCTGTTCAGCTACCCTTGGCCTTGAGCTCTCCTCCCGGTTGTCAAATTAGAGCTCCTGACTTCACCCAGGTGTGGTGACCACACTCCCAGCGGGAAGAGGGCGAAGGTGATGAGCAAAAGGCACCTCCCGCTGAGTCAGCCCCCTTCACAGGCTTTCTCAGAGGCTCAACCAATGGACGTCTGATTAAACCTCACTGTTTAAACCCGTGTGGGAAACACAGGTCTGGGTGGCAAGTCCAATATAAAATCCAATTTTAGGGGCTTCCCTGGTGGCGCAGTGGTTGAGAGTCTGCCTGCCGATGCAGGGGACACGGGTTCGTGCCCCGGTCCGGGAGGATCCCACATGCTGCGGAGCGGCCGGGCCTGTGAGCCATGGCCGCTGAGCCTGCGCGTCCGGAGCCTGTGCTCCGCAACGGGAGAGGCCACAGCAGTGAGAGGCCTGCGTACCGCACAAAAAAAAAAAAAATAAAAAAAAAAAAAAAAAATCCAATTTTATTAGGAAGAAAGAAAGGGAGGATGGATATTGGTCAGTCAGTGAGCAGTCTCGGCCACACTGATGGTCTACGAACTGCTCCCGGGAATGACCCTTCTAGAAAATGCCACTTGGCTTGCAGTGGATGAATGTTATCTAAAGTCATCCCACAATGGGCAAAGAGATTTAAAGTAAACACTCTTAGCCTCTCTGCCAGAGACATAGTTAAACATTTGGGAAAGAAAAGGTCTGGTGAGGTGCTGCTTTAAAATACTTTGCCAAAAAGGCGTAACTTTCACTATTCCTTTTTTTTTTTTCTAAATTGAAGTATAGTTGATTTACGATGTTGCGTTAGCTTCTTCTGTACAGCAAAGTGAATCTCACTATTCTTAAGGAAAATATGGGGAAAATCATCAGGGGTAAAATTTAGAGGATTTGTCCAAGACCGAACAAATAGCTAAAGTAATTTGTTAGTACAGAGTACATTCGTTTATTAGGGCCCGCGAATGGAAATCTGACCATTTCCAAACTGTAATTTTGTTTATTTCTTTTTATTGGATGTTTCCCTGTGCTATACAGCACGACCTTGTTGTTTTGTAACTCTGTTTATAATCATTAGGATTATGAGCTTTGATTTAAGCTAAGAATATCTTTTTTTGTCATTCTATTTATTTGTTTATATTTTTTCTTCCAGTTTTATTGAGATATAATTGACACACAGCCCTGTATAGGTTTAAGGTGTGCAGCATAATGACTTGACTTACATACATCATGAAATGATTACACAGTAATTTTAGTGAACGAACATCCATCTTCTATAAATACAAAATAAATAATAGAAATTTTTTTTCCCCTTGTGATGAGAACTCAGGATTTACTCTCTTAATTTGCCTGCCACATGGGTCTGTATTAAGCAATCTGGCAGGTAGTATTCTAATGTTTAGCTTCCCCTTCCAGATATTTTTTCCCTTCTCTGAAATCATAGTCTTTTATAGCATTATTTCAGACAGACAGAATTACTTTTGAACTCTTTTTTTTTTTTTTTTTTTTTTTTGCGGTACGCGGGCCTCTCACTGTTGTGGCCTCTCCCGTTGCGGAGCACAGGCTCCGGACGCGCAGGCTCAGCGGTCATGGCTCACGGGCCCAGCCGCTCCGCGGCATGTGGGATCTTCCCGGACCGGGGCACGAACCCGTGTCCCAAACCCGTGTCCCCTGCATCGGCAGGCGGACTCTCAACCACTGCGCCACCGGGGAGGCCCTGAACTCTTTTTTTTTTTAACATAATTTTTTTCAAAGCTCTTACTGACAGAGCCAACTTTTGGTTTGGCTCAACCCTCCTGAAAATAATAAAATTTAATATTCCACCTATAAATATCTACCACACATGAAAATATTCACTGTTCTAGGCCAGACTCAGGTAGGAAACATACAATTTGATTCTTAAAATATGGAAACCCTTGACAAAAATTTTAAAGGGTCATAAGAATATTTTTTTAAGAAACAACTGGAATGGGATTAAAGTCCACGGTTGCACAATCCCTTATCCACAGTCAAGGATTCTCCAAATCTTTGAAAACTGAAAGCTTCCTCAAAAGTTGTAGTATCTGTTTGGTGACAGAAGCTGACCTGATCTAATATAGGGCTTCTTACGGTCTGCCTTTACCTCATTTAGTGTGACTGATCACATATTTCATTACAATATATTATTTTACTTGATTATGGGGTGATTATGATAATGCATCTATTACTATTTTTTAATTATTTAAAAAATCTGAGTTCCAAAACAAATCTTGCTTCCCCACACAGTTCTGAGAGGTAGAGATCTTAAAAACTGCATTACCTAATTGCTTCACAATTTGATTTGTTTAGAAATTCCTATTACTATCAAAGCTCATTCAAGGGATTACATATCATTGATTTGACCTACTTTTAAAGTCTAAGAACCTGCTGCTCTAAGTCTTGGAATCTGAGAAATTGAACACATTGTTTCTGCCCATGTGTGCATAGGATTTTGCTTGCTAACAACCAGTTAGTAAATTCAAAAACAATAACTGTTTTTATTCCAACTATATGAGTTAAATTCTGGCTTTAATAATGCTTTGCAAAAAAAAAAAAAATGCTTTGCCTCATTTGTTTAAAAAGAAGTGTTAATTGAGCTTTGTTCAACTGATATGAAATGTGAGGTTTTTTGAATAAAAAATACCAGAATTGACACTATTAAAGAGAAGCACAAAACGGAGGCACACCGTTGCCTTATTTCTTCCTTTTGGTTTTACTAGTAATGTGTATGGTCTTAGAGATTTGTTTCTTGCTCATATTTCTTTATGAACATAGTCATAATCGATGTCTATAACAATGCAAATGAAGTGTGGATTTTTAAAAATATAATACCAAAACACCGCGATACAGCTATGTAAATTCAAAATTAGCGTGGAGGTTTTTTTGTCACTTCACCACAGCTTCGCTGGATCTTACCCACACTGAAGCCTTCAAACTCTCAAATTCCAACATTTTAGTCTCTAAATAAGATTCACTTTCTTCAATGTGGAACTCCTCTCTGTAACTTAAAAACTTCGGCAGGATGTCACTCCATTTCTGACCTCCTCCGATGTCATTTTCCCTTTCTCTCAACATGCTGCAGGGCCATTGAGCTCATTTTACTTCCTGGAATACTCCAAGCTCCACTCTGCCTCAGAGCCTTTGCACACGCTGTAACCACTTCCGGGTCTGCTATTTCTCATGCATTTTTCTTCTCACCCTTTGGCTCCTTCTCTTCCTTCAAGTCTATCATCAATGCCATGTTCTTAGAAATAACTTTCCTTATCCTCTTATCTATGTCTTTCCCTCCCTGTTATTCTGGAAGACTGCACTCTGTTTATTTCTTAGTAGCAATTATAATTTGCAATTATGTATTTGTTTACTTGCTTGTTTCTTTGTGTTCCCACGAGACTGTGAGCTTCATGAAGGAGAGGAACTTCCTGCTTGTGCATTAATGTGTATGTAGCACCAAGCATCACGCCTGGCACACCCTAAGCTCTCAAGAACTATTTGAATAAACAACATGAGAATTATTTATCCTATGTCTTTCAGTGATAATTTTTCCAAAACATCTCACTCTACATTTGACTTTTACCAAAACAAAAGATGCTCAGATCACGTGTATAATGAATATTGTCTCAAAAACTCTGAAGAAAATTCGGCCTTTGGGAAGTGCATAACTTGAAATATGTGTATTGTGGAAAATGCATAGAATATTCTAATCTACAGGTAATAAAAGTATATATGGACATGCACATCCATATACTTATATATAGATGTACATATATACTTACATTTACATGTATAACTGTATGTATATATACATACATGAATCTCATGCATATGTAAGGGTGGGGGAAGGGATGGGAGAGAAAAGGACAGGGCTGGGGAGGTGGATAGACAAAATAGTATATAGTGAAAATGGCCCCTAGCAATTTTTTTTTCTGTTGGAAGGACAACTGCGTAGAAATTTCTCAAGAATTGTAATCTACTCTCTTCACTAGATGACTTCTTAAGGATGTTTTCCTGACTGATCACATAAATGTCGTTGAAATCGACTCTCATCAGGTAACTACTGATGAGATTACAGAATAAAACGTTCGAAAAATGTCCTGGTTTAGACAATAAATTGTATAGTCACCCTAGCTATTGCTCTCTAAGAATGTTACCTATTTTTTTTAACATCTTTATTGGAGTATAATTGCTTTACAATGGTGTGTTAGTTTCTGCTTTATAACAAAGTGAATCAGTTATACATATACATATGTTCCCATATCTCTTCCCTCTTGCATCTCCCTCCCTCCCACCCTCCCTATCCCACCCCTCTAGGTGGTCACAAAGCACCGA